AAAGGTGCCCCCGAGCAGGTATTTCTGGTTTTTCACTCTAGTAATATAGCTTGAAATGTGCTTTTTGTTTTCATCTTCATGTTTTGGTGAAAATAGGCATGGAACTAGTTAACTGATAGATGTTAACTTTGTCGTGAATAGATCTTAACATTGTGCAACTCCAAGGAAGATGTTAAAAAGAAGGTTCATGCTGTAATTGATAAGTTTGCTGAACGCGGACTTCGCTCTTTGGCAGTTGCCCGTCAGGTTCGAATATATTACCTCATGCATTTTCTTGAGCTAATTCCTTCAGTTGTTTTATTCTACTTCTGTATCTCATTCTTTTTGCAGGAAGTTCCTGAGAAAACAAAAGAGAGTCCAGGGGGACCGTGGCAGCTTGTTGGTTTATTACCGTTGTTTGATCCACCAAGGCATGATAGCGCAGAAACAATCAAAAGAGCCTTGAATCTGGGCGTGAATGTAAAGATGATCACTGGTACCGGATCTTATGTTTTATTCCTCTCAACCCCTTCATGTTCAAATGTTATTCTATCAGTTGCTTTTTTAAATTCTTTTTCCTCATTGTTTAGGTGATCAACTAGCCATAGCCAAAGAAACAGGCCGCAGGCTTGGAATGGGGACAAACATGTATCCGTCATCATCGTTGCTTGGCCAAGACAAGGATGAATCTATTGCAGCGCTTCCCGTAGACGAGCTGATTGAGAAGGCTGATGGGTTTGCTGGAGTATTTCCAGGTCAATTTCGTTTTACTATGTTCTCTGCTGGAAGCCTAGGATGGGAGTGAAAAATGTGTTCTTATAAAGTTCTGATATTATGCTCGACTTTTCGTGTTATACAGCCTGATCCCATTTTTGTGTATTTGTAGAGCACAAGTATGAAATAGTAAAAAGGTTACAAGAAAGGAAGCACATATGTGGTATGACGGGAGATGGTGTTAATGATGCTCCGGCTCTAAAGAAGGCAGATATCGGGATTGCAGTTGCTGATGCAACGGATGCTGCTAGAGGTGCATCCGACATTGTCCTAACTGAACCTGGACTGAGTGTCATTATAAGTGCAGTACTGACTAGCAGGGCTATTTTCCAGAGAATGAAGAATTACACTGTGAGTCAGCTTTTCTTTTATAAATCAAAGTTTAGCCTCTTAACCTTGAAAATATCTGATTTTTCTGTCGTTTGATTGTTTCATTTTCCAGATATATGCTGTTTCGATTACAATTCGTATTGTGGTAGGTATCAAGAACCCTTCAATTGTCTTGTTTTAACTATGAAGTTGAACGATTTGATACTTATCCATATACCCAATGCAGTTTGGATTTATGCTTATTGCTCTGATATGGAAATTTGACTTCGCTCCTTTCATGATTCTAATCATTGCTATTCTGAATGATGGTAAGCTCAGCTCTAACGATAAACTTCACCGTTCTCTGTTCGTCTTCAATAAAAGATACACCTCTAATCGTATCTTTTTCTCTATTACAAAACGAGTTGCCTGCATAATTTACACTTCACATTTTCCTCTAGGAACAATAATGACAATCTCGAAGGATAGAGTGAAGCCATCTCCTTTACCCGACAGTTGGAAACTCAGAGAGATTTTCGCCACTGGAGTCGTCTTGGGAGGTTACTTGGCACTAGCTACAGTATTGTTTTTCTGGGTCATGAAAGATACCAACTTCTTTTCGGTATCAACAAACGTATACATCTTGAGTAATTTTCATGAGTTGTTTTTCATTGCTTGATCATTTATTTGGTTCCCTGCAGGATCACTTAGGTGTAAGATCTATTAGAGATAGTCCTCGGGAAATAATGGCAGCTTTGTACCTACAAGTGAGTATTATTAGTCAAGCACTCATATTCGTTACAAGGTCTCGAAGCTGGTCCTTTGCAGAACGCCCCGGAATGTTCTTACTTTGTGCTTTTATGATAGCTCAACTGGTAAAGAACTTTTCCATTTCACTGATTTTTTCAAAATTGCATCCTTCGACCAACTCTGTACTAAAGTGAAGTTACTTATACTATGCATTGTATTACAGGTTGCCACCCTAATAGCCGTTTACGCGAACTGGGATTTTGCAAAGATCAAAGGATGTGGTTGGGGTTGGGCCGGTCTTATCTGGCTTTACAGCATTGTAACCTATTTTCCACTAGATATCCTCAAGTTCTGCATTCGTTATGTTTTGAGCGGAAAGGCTTGGGATAATCTTTTGGAGAATAAAGTATGTTGTCTTAAAGTGTTTATTAAGTTGTTTAAGCAATTGCATTGCTCGATCCTTACTTTTTTATTCGACTTTTGATAACAGACTGCCTTTACAACAAAGTCTAACTATGGAAAAGAAGAGAGAGAAGCACAATGGGCTACTGCACAGAGGACTTTACATGGTCTTCAACCACGGGAAGCGAATAACCTTTTCAATGAGAAGAGCAGTTATCGGGAGCTCTCCGAGATTGCAGAGCAGGCCAAACGACGTGCTGAGGTTGCCAGGTCAGTAATCTGCTTATAGCTTGTCGATTCCATAAACCACTTGTGCCTAAGTCGGAGTAGTTCTCGTGTTAGGATCTAATCAGTCTTCATAAAGATTTAAACAGTATGGGAAAATGATCGAAGCCTCATTTATGATGCAGGCTTAGGGAACTGAATACACTGAAAGGGCATGTGGAATCTGTGGTGAAGCTGAAAGGACTAGACATTGACACAATTCAACAACATTACACAGTTTAAATTAAGGCATAAAAGAGAACAAGAAGGCATTTTCGTCTACAGAAGAAGTTCTATGAAATAGTAGAAATCAGCTAAATGTATTCAACTTATCCTAGACTAGGGTCATATCCTCTCTACCTACAACTTTAAAAACACAGTATGTGGATGGTTTCTGTATCTATTCATGAAGCTTGTTCTTAGATGAAGCCATTAGCCATGGCTGCTTCATTTATGAGGTTTCATAAATTGACAGGGATGAAGAAAATGATTGTGGAACTGGTTTGATTCCAACATTTTCAAAGCATCATTAGAACTAAATTGTTAAGTACATGTTTTAGTACTAATTCCTTGTTTGAGTACCCATTTTACAAAACTCTTTTTTTCTCGAAGTCATTTTCAACTATACATTCTCACGAAAAAATATTTTGCACGTAAATCTAATTTTTTTCTACTGTTAACCACATATTCTTAAAAAAACATTATTCCAAAACTCATTTTCTTCGGAAGAACTCTTATTAACTATTGTCAAACTACATTTTTATTGACCATCAAAGGAGATGAATGAAGACAAACGAAAAGAATTGAACCCTGTTTGGTAAAGTTATAAATTTGATTTAAAATTTAAGTCAAAGTTAACAATTAATTTTCAAAAAATCCTCAATTTTTCAACCAAATATTCTATCAAAATTTTTATCTAAATATTATGAAAGCAGCATCTTGCAACGCTTCTCAACGATTTATTATTCATTTTATTTTTACAAGTAAAAAGTTCTATACATTAACAAATAATAACTCTCCTTTAATTTTAAGAAAAGAAGAAGTTTCACGTTCTTAAAATCAAGACTCGCTAGGCCTCATTTTGTTTAATTGAAAAAGCTAATAAATATTTAAGTAAAAATTAGTAATTAATTTTAATCATGTATTTTATTAATTTTTAACTAAACCAATTTAGTTTATTATTTTCCGCGATCTTCCACACCCTGGTCAACGAAATCCAAAAAACACTTAAAATTTTCAAAATAACACGATTTTTCCTCGTGGCTCCGCCACTAATTCTCCCTATCTTCTTCTTCTTCTTTCAAGCACCATAACCCCTAATCCCGTTTGGCTCCCATTATTTGAAGTTTCAAGTTTTGGAATCGTAAATTCTTGAAAAAATTGTGATTAAAAAGGAAGAAAAAGTTTCAAAGTCACGTGTAATATTATTTTACTGAAAAATATATGATTGATAAGAATATAGAGACTAATGAATTATAATTTCAATGGAAGTTAAACAGAAGGATAGTCTAACCTCCTCGAACATCCATTAAAAGCATAAAACATTTTATCAATTTTTATCAAAATTTATTAAAAATCTAAACGAAGTATATCTATTACTCCCTCCGTCCCAAAAAGATAGTCTTGTATACTATTTTTGTCCGTCCCAAAAAGATAGTCTTGTTTCCATTTCAAGCATGTATTAAAATTTTCATTTCCACATATACCCTTATTTAATACATCTTGGTATAATAGACACCAACTACCTAGATATTGCATTTTCAAATTTTTTTTTGGGAAACAAAGTAAGTCCATGCGTTAGTTCAACTGTGTGGGGGGATTCAAATAGGTATTAAACCTTTCACCTCCCTCTCTCAAGATCCATAAAGTGGAGAGAGGTGTTAAAATGAAGATATCACCTTGCTGGAATGGAACCACTTCGGAGCAATACCAGATAAATATTAAATAGCGATAAACTTATCGATCATCAGACTCGGGTTGAGCATCCGAAAAAATGGGCAACCCGTTACAAGACCTAAACTGTCCACTGGATGATGAAGACGATGATTCTGCAATAATTGCAATAGATGATCGAGCAACCTTTCAAGGAAAGAAAGAATCTGGCAAACGATTACTCGACTTGAATTCTCTACCGGAAATGGAAGGATATCTTGCTCCTCGTCAGCAGGTGGCACTTGTTGTTCATGAAATGCTTAAAATTTATTTGCCTAGATTTTTTCATTGATGGACTGAATATGTTTTTATTTTTTTTTGACTGCATTAAAC